TGTGATTATTATTAAATATTTTGATAATTTTTAATATCAGGACATCTTGACTTTTCCTTTTTTCTATACAAAATTTCAATAATTTATTTATTCTCTTTTAATAATTAAGATTTATTATAATTTTTATGTAAAAAAATAATTATATTTAATAAATATAATAAAAATAAATAAATTTTAATTATTTAAAATAAAAAATAATTAATTAAAATTATATATAAATGTAATATATAAAACTTGTATATAAATATATGCTACTCTCTAAAATGAGCTTTATAATTTGAGAGTTTTTAAAGATTTATTAAGTTATTTGCAAGGTTCTAAGCCAAGAATCAAATTATATTAACTTGAGTTCGATAAAAATTATGAAACCTAATTCGGGCTTGAGCTTGAATTCGTTTGTCAAACATGCTTGAATTGTTCTGCGTACAAGATTACTTGCAATCGAGTTGCACTGAAGAATTAGTCAGAATTAGAATCATGTCTCCAACATTCAAAAATCAACTAATTAAGACCGTGCTGTTGGAATCCGAAATACCCCTAGTTTTCAATCTGTTTTAATTTTTAAAAATTGAGGACACATGCTGGCAGAGAAACAAAAGCATTAACTAACCTGTAATTAATTTTGTTGTAAGTTAAAATTCTAGTAATCAACTTTATAAAAATATAAAATGAGATTAGTATTTATTTAGTTACTTTTTAAAAATTAAAAATAATCATTTTAAAACTATCTCATTTTAATAAATTATCAAGATAAATAATTAAAAATAATATACTTTAAGCTTTTAAAATATAATATTTTGTTATTAAAGCGATCTAATTTTAAGATGATCTTCTTACGAATTTTTACAAGATAAAGGGATGGACATTTTTTCCTGTATATAATAACAATGATTACGACTTAATCAAGCAAAGCATAATTGATTCCTTCTCCACTTTCTGGAATCCATGTGATCTTTTCTTTTAAGAATAAATAAACAATCCATCTGGACCATCCTAATCCGCCTTGTTTTTGTTCCTGAGATGACTTGAAAATTAATAAACTTTTCGGCTGGATATATGCCAAATATCTCCTAATTTAGGGAGAGAGGAGAGATACAAAAAGACGGTTGCCAAATTTAAAAGAAGAAAACGTGGTTTTATGCTGCTGCAAAGTGTTCCTTATTGTACAGGTGGCATCTCATGTGGCAGCATATGTGGAAAAAAAATGGGTTTAACTGCTGAACGTTTAGGACTTAACGGTCAGCAGTGACGGGAACATGAACGGGGTCAGGGAAGGGACGACAATGAACAAAAAAGAGGAGTAGAGGGACGACATATGGCTCTTTGGTAGAGTAGAGGGATGACAACGAATAAATCCTTAGTAAAGGGACAAGAACGAATAAAATATGAAAGTAGAGGGACGAAAGTTAGCTTTAAACCAAAAGAAAAAAATCAAAGGAGACAAATGTGTTTCATCTTCTCTTCTCATTTTCTGATTATAATTTCCTAGCGCCTGACAAATAGGTTAGGTTGAGGTACCTAATTTTAAAAAA